ATGTGTCAAGTAAAACATGTCTCCTAAGAGATCGAGTAAGGTTAGAAAGAAAGCATAATGCCTTCTAAAACCACTGAGGGAACAAGAAAAAGATGGCTATCAAAATACATATCTTAGCTGAGTTGACAGCTCAGTGGCTGAGTATTAACCCATAAACCGGGAGGTCACGGTTTGATTCCCGGTCAGGACACATGTCGGGATTGCCAGCTCAATCCCCAGTAGTGAGTGTGCAGGAGGCAGCGATCAACGATTCTCTCTCCTCATTGATGTTTCTATCTCTCTCTCCTTCTCCCTTCCTCTTTGAAATCAATAAAAACACATTAAAACAATAAACAAACAAACATCTTAGTGGCCTCTTTTCCCATTATGAGGAATAATTCTTCAAATTTAAAATTTAAAATAAACATACAATACAGGGAGGGGGCAGTCTTCCGAACTGTGGAAGATGTATTCTGAAAAAATTAAAATGTGGAGATTGAGCCATCTCAGGCACCACCTATTTCCCATCTCAATGAATGAGAGCAGCCCGGGCACCGAGTGGAACGTGGATGAGGAAAATGGATCTAAGATGCTTCAGGTTAGGAGCATGCAAGGCTCCTCTCACTTGCGCCTGGCGTGCTGACCTCGCAGGGAAGAAGGTATGGGGGCCACATGGGCCACCTGTCCCCCCTTTGGTTCCAGGGGACCCTCTTCCACAGAAAACAAGGAGTCCTTTCTCCTCCCTCCCAGAATGCCCGTGTAGCTTCCCAGGGTGCCCCAAACTCACATGGAGAAGTCACATCTGGATTTACTGGTGCAAGTCGGGAGGCCTAAATCCCTCACTCATTTTTTTATTTTTATTTTTTGGCATTCTACGTTCTAAAATGGATTTTTAACCCTCGGCATCAAATATTGCAGGACTGTACCGCTTGAATGACATGGTAGCAGACATGAATGACTTACAATCAAACGGGGAGATGGGGGAAATGTTCCAGGAAACAAAATCACACCCTATTCACCCAGCACAGCAGCGCTTTCCCTGAGCCAGAGCTCTCACAGGAAAGAGGAGCGCCCCTAGTGGGAAGAAGCAGGGAGAAGTTTGGCCCAGCCGCTCCCTGAAGTCCCCTCTTCTTCAAACTTGAACAGAGCACATTCTGAAACCAAGGCAAAAACTGAAAATAAGTGAAAAGGCTGCTGCCCTCGTGTTTTTAACTGCTATAACAAAGGCCCAGTGGCTTCGGACAGAGACCTGTCCACAGCACAGGAATGCTGGGTGGGAGGCCATTGCACACTCCCTTCCGGCCTGTGACAAGCATACATGCCTTTTCCTCCTCCCATCACAACTCAAACATTCCCACAGGCCGACAATGAGGGGGGCGAGGACTGCAGAAGCCCAGTGTGTGCTTCCCCATAAGGGGATCTTTCAACACCCACCCTCCAGCACCGCCTGAGGATGAGGTCAGACTCTGTTCTATAGGCCCTGAAACAAGCTGACTTTGTGACCAGCTGGCCGGCCCTCCTGTGAGGCCCTAAAGATGGAAAAGGATTGGTTTCGCCCACAGGGACTTCATTCCCTGTGCAGGAAGCCTAGCCAAACCATTTTTAAATAAGTACATTCAGGGGACAGGCAAAGAAACATTTATAAGAGCCTCTATGAAGCTCCCATTTATAAGAACCCCTTCTCTCTCTCCTCCCTCCCTCCCTCTTCCCTGACACCAAATCACACCACACACAGTCACACACAGTCACACACACACACACACACACACACCCCCCACTGCGGGGCCCATTGCCCTAAGTATCTCTGTCTGTTTCTCTGATGACAGCCTCCTACTCTATAGCGAACCTACAATGGCTCCCCATTTAACATCAGACCATGGCAAATGACACACCTGAGCACCGAAATTCCTGCAAGACTCGGTCATTTTACCTACTCATGCCTACTCTTTGTCCTTCCACACATGCCTGTTCTTGTTGTTTTCTCTCCTCTCTACCTGTACTGTCTAGTCACTAAGAACACATTCTGCCTGGGTTCAAATCCCAACTCCACCAACCAGAGCTAGAGACGTTGGCTAAGGAACGTAAATGATTCAATGCCTCGGTTCCCTCATCTGGTGAGTACAACAATGAGGAATGAGATGATACAGGTAAAAGTTCAGAATAAAACCTGGCACCTGGTATCACCCAATAAATACTAGCAACTAAAACACTCATTATCACACATATCATTTCCTCCATGAAGCCTTCCCTAGCAACACGACTCAATATCTTCTGATTCTTAAATGTCCTACAAACAGTCAGAAATCATAGATACTGACCAGAGTTTTTCTGAACTATTTCACAGGGCAGGTTACACGGATGGTGATTCAAATGTTAAAATCATTATTATAAAAATCACATCCTAAAATATGCACCTGTAGCCCATCTGGTATGGCTCAGTAGTGGAGCATCCGCTTATGAAGGAGGAGGTTACGGTTCGATTCCCAGGCACAGGGCACACGCCCAAGCTGTGGTCTCGATCCCCTGTGTGGGGCAGTCAATTGATGATTCTCTCTCATCACTGATGTTTCTATCTCTCTCTCTCCCTCTCCCTTCCTCTCTGGAATTAATAAAAATGTATAAATAAATAAATACCCATGACTCCCAAGTGATCACTGCCTCCAGTAACAACATTTCTGATAAGGTTTGAGTATATTTTATATGGTTTCAGGTTTTGTTTCTTGGATACAAAGTTTAATTCTACAGAGACTGAATACTATTTTATTTTTTTAAATATGTTTTTATTGACTTTTAGAGAGAGAGGAAGATGGGGGGGGGGGGTAGAGAAACATCGAATGGTTACCTCCTACTAGTATATGCACCCCAACCAGGGATCAAGCCCACAACCTGGGCATGTGTCCTGACCAGGAATTGAGCTGGTGACTTTTCTTTTCTTTTTTAAAATATATTTTATTGATTTTTTTTTTTACAGAGAGGAAAGGAGAAGGATAGAGAGTTAGACACATGGATGAGCATTGATGAGAGAGAAACATCAATCAGCTGCCTCCTGCAAACTTCCTGCCTCCTGCAAACTTCCACTGGGGATGTGACCACAACCAAGGTACATGCCCTTGACTAGAATCGAACCTGGGACCTTTCAGTCCGCAGGCCTACACTATATCCACTGAGCCAAACTGGTTAGGGTGAGCCGGTGACTTCTCAGTGCATGGAACGATGCTCACCAATTGAGCGATACCAGCCAGGGCTAAAAACTCCTTAAGAGCAAAGAGCAGAGGTTGACATCTGGTTCACACAGAGAGTTCCTACCAAAGTACCACAGTGGGTCTCCAGCCAATCCTTGTTGAATTTAAATAGAACCCTGAGTTATCTGAAAAACAAAGGTAGTATGTGGAAGGTTAAGTGGACCTTCAGAATAAGAATTAAAATCTACCCTGTAAGTCCTGACCTGGAGGCTCCATTGGTTGAAGCATTGTCATGTACACCAAACGATTTCAGGTTTGCTTCTCAGTCAGGGCACATACAGGAGGCAATCAATCAATGTTTCTCTCTCAAACCTTTCTCTCCCTCACGCCCCTCCTCTTTAAAGTCAATAAACATATGCCAGGATTAGTATAAAAATAAAATCTACCCTGTCAGTATTCCTCCTCTTAAACTTCTTGACACAAACATAGAAAATTAAACCATGGTAAGAGGAAGAAAGTCCAAGATAAACACCATCAAGATGGAGTGAAACTTGGTGCAAAATACGGTAATACAGTGATGTTTGGCATGAACCTGCTGACACTGTAGTCTTTTTGTCGATTTGTTCAGAACCTGGGAGGGGAAAGATGGTGTTGTGTGTGTGTTTTTTAACATATATTTTTATTGATTTCAGAGAGGAAAGATAGAAACATCAATGATGAGAGACACATTAATTGCCTGCCTCTGCGTGTCCCCTACTGAGGATTAGTCCACAACCCAGGCTTGTGCTCTGACCAGGAATCCAAACCGTGACCTCTTGGTTCATAGGTCAATACTCAACCACTGAGCCATACCAGCTGAGCAAGACTGTGTTATTTATTGGTCTCCCTCAAAAACCACAACACATCCCCGCCCCCATCATCTAACTGATTAATAGCCTACTATGGGGAAATTCCAGGAAAAAAAGGTCCTATATGTGTCTGTATCAATATCATTGCCCAAGAAATGTCTGGAGACACCCACCTACAAGTAACATATCCAGAAAAGTAAAAATCGCCCTATTGCTGCCTCATTACCTGTGGAATGATCATAGCTTTGTCATACTTCCCCTACAGGTCAAAGTAAGTGTTTTATAACAGCTACTTCCTGAGATCCTGGTAGCCATTCTTAGAACAAAAAAAAAAAAAAAAAAAAAAACTGTACATTAATCAGAAACGCTATGAACAAGACTGAGACAAAACACATAATCCTCTCCACCAACAGCATCGGCCTGCATCCACACTACTACCTTGTTTCTCCGAAAATAAGACCTAGCACATGGAAAGATAAGACATCCCCTGAAAATAAGACCTCGAGCAACTTTGGGAGAAAAATTAATATAAGACACTGTCTTATTTTCGGGGAAACAGGGTACTAAAGATCAGGAAAGCATTAAACTGGCTTCCCCGAGGGAGGGTGGGGATAAAAGGGAGAGATCAACCAAAGGACTTATGTCCATACATATGAACCTAAACAGTGGTCAAGGACAATAGGGGGATGGAGGCATGAGTGGGGAGGGGTAGGGGATTGGAATGGGGGGTTAAGGACAAATACGTGATACCTTAATCAGTAAAGAAATTTTAAAAATAATAAATAAATAAATAAATAAATAAATAACTTAAAACAAATAAATAAATAATAAAGTTACTTCCCCGGAGGTTTGGAGAGAGTGAGTGTACCCAAAACCACACAGGGGCGGATGGGCCCAGGTGGGTGGGCCCATGCACTAAATTAGATGTTTCCCACACACACACCCTCATCGACCATCAGAACTGAGAAGAGTTGAAACAGGGCAGACTTACGTGCTCTTTCATCTCGTTAGCCACGGTTTGTGACATCATGATGCAGCAGAGGACAGAGACGAGGATGAAGTAGAGGGCATACATGAAGCGGGTACTCCGGGACTGTCGGATCTTGGGGCAACAGCCACAGCAGAGGGAGCAGCCAGCAGTCCCACAGCAGCAGGCCAACTGAAAAAGAAACACAGAACATCCTCTTAAAGCCACTGCTTTACAAACCTGCTAACCCCAGCCCTCTGAGGGTCCACCTTTCAGCTGCCATTTTTCGGAGCCATCCTTCCCGCAGAGCATGCTGGGACAGTTTAGTATGTGAACAAAGCTTTCCACAGAATGGGTCTAAGGTTGTCTCTAATGACTAGCATTAAGGCTTGGGAGATGCCCAATAATGAAACAGAAAAAGCACAATTCACCTGAAGCACTATACGCATTACTCTTAGGCAAAATAAAAATTTCCAGGATCAGCTAAAAGCAAAAGAGGCCAAGAACTAGAAAAAGGCCAAAGTGAGGTGAGGAGAACATGAAAAACAGGGAACTTGGCCCAAGAAAAGAACTTGTCAAAATCCATGAGCAGAAGAATTAATTGTATGGGCACACAAGCAAGTAACTAACCCCTTTTAAGACGTATCACTTATAAAGTGGTAACAATATTTATGCTTATGCTGTGGTCTCTTGGACCTAATCAGACACACCTGGTGTCAGGGAGGGATTTCTACAAAAAAGATAATTATAAACTGCAAATAACAACTAAACCTATATACAGTACAGTACAGTCAATATAAAACCTACAACTTAACAATTCAGTCTCTTGATAATGCTTTGGAAGGAAGTTCAAGATCTGGCATAGCTGCAAAACAAGCATCAATTAGAATGCCACCCTATAAACATCACTTACAATGGGAAGAGATCACAGGTAAACAGGGATGAGAAGGGCTGTAATCACAGGATGCTAAGACAGATCTTGGAAATGTCGTTTTCCAAGTTATTTCATCTACTTCATGAAACCGCCATTGTTTGAGCCCTTGGACATTCTGCACTCTCATTATTTTAAATTTTTGCTGATGTACTCTCTCCACATTCAGTTTCCCAAGCCATCTTCCTCAAAAGATTCTTCTTGCTTCATGATGTTAGGCCACGGCTTTGTAAGATTATTCTACTTGGGCTGAGCTAACAGGCCACACAAGCAGGACCCCAACCCCACTGCCTGTGTGGCATTCTTACAGATCACCTTCCTTTACAATTCCCTCCCTCCTGTCTTCTCACTGTACCCTGCCTCCCTCCTCAGCCTTCCAAATTCTTCCTTAGAATCCCCTTCATTGGTTACAACCTCTTTAGTTCTGTGGTCTTAGATAACTAGTCTTATCTAAGACTAGTATGTCAAATTCAAATGTGACCTATTTTGGAAAAAAAAATTTTTTTAAACACTCTCCTGTTCCATGATAGAACTTTGCCACAGCAGAATCAACATTTAACCTTAATAGCTCCTCAGAAGAGAAACAGACATATACATAATGTAAGCCTAACTGGTCATTTAAAGACAGATAAACAGTGGCAGAGAGATGTGATTATGGAAAATGTGAAAAGAAAGCCATACTGTTTTAATCTTCTATTACTAAAGTCAGGCGGCATACTATGGATCTGACTTTTCAAACTTCCCTACTTACACCTTCACTCTCTATATAATTCTATGGTATGATTGACAGATAGGCAGATATACAAGTACATATACACACACATGTATATTTTAAAATCCAATAGCCTTTTTCTAGTAGTTATTTATCAAAGCAAACTATGCCAACAACCAAGGCAACAAGTGCATTATCTTCAGCTTAAAAAAAAACAAAAACACTAATATACACAAGTAGAAACGCAAACCAGCGTCCATAAAAGAAATGTTATATTATCCTCTTAAAAAAAAAAAAAATCTCACAGCTTTGCTGATTTACCACTTTTTTCTGGAAAAGCAAAATTTAGAATAAAAGAGGTTCATGCCCACAAGCTTGAAGAGAAGTGCCAGTGTCTTGCTACTTCAGCAACAGAGGGCCAAAACTTTTCACTGAACAAGTCAGGGTATAATAAACAAATAAATGTAGAATACCAAGAGTGAAACCTATGAACTTTGGATAATAATATATTTCTATACTAGTAGGCTCATCATTTGTAACAAATGTATCACTCTGGCAAGGAGTGTGGATAACGAGGGAGGACTGTACACGTGTGGGACAGGGGATATTTAGGGAATCTCTGCACCTTCCTCAATTTTGCTGTGAACTAAAACTGCTCTAAAAATTTGGAGAAACCAAGATGGCATAGGGTAGACACTCGAATGCAGCCTACCACAACAAATTTGAATTTAGAACTGGAAAACAGGGGAGGCATTGCCCTGAAGCGCCGGATGGCTAGCTGAGAGGAGGCTCTGCCATCTGGGAAGGAGAGAGAAGGCACACTGAACCTCTGGGACTGTGAAGGTACGGAGAACTGTGCGCGCGAAAAGGCGCTGGCTTACTCCCCGCGCAGGGAGAGGAAGGGCTGGACAGAGATTGCTGCTGGCTTACTCCCAGTGCACAGAGAGGGCGGACAGCTAACGCGCAGCTGGCTTTCTTGTTCGAGAGGAAAACAGAATCAGCCTATTGCTCTGATAGACGGCCCCAGTCAGGGAGAGGCTAGACTGTCAGGCAGTGGGCAGAGATCTCTCAGAGGTGTGTGAAGCCAGAGGCCATTACGGCCAGACTTGGGGAGGAGCCAAAGGGAAAACAAAGTTTGTCTGCACCAACCCGAGTCTCTGTCCCATCAGTGGCTGAGCACAGAAGCTCTCCCAGAGGCTGGCTTTCTCTAAGGAGGGTCTGACCTGAAGCCAAAGTTTGTCTGCGCCTTTACCAAAGAGGTGCGTGCGCCTGCAATCAATCTTCCGAAACTCTCTGCGAACAGGACTTTTCTAAGGCGAGACTGACAGGGAACCAAAGATTGTCTGCGCCACCCCGAGACCCTGCCCTATCCAAGCAGAGTACAGAAGCCCTCCTAGCTGAGACACTGCTGATCCTCACAGCCAATTGGCTTGGAGATCAACGCTTCCCAGTGATAACAACAATAAGCAAGGCTTAACAACAAGACTGCACACACAGCCCACAAAGGGCTACACCAAGACTGTCCACTGCAGGTAACTGGGAAGGCTGGGCTACTGGGCTCTACCAGAACACCTAGCACACAAAGCTATTCCATCAAATCAGGGAAAAACAACTAAAATGCAGACAAGAGGAAGGACACAAAGGAAGGAGATGGAGGAAAAGAAAAGACCGCATTGAGTTCAAAACTACAGTTATAAGGTTATTCAACAATTTCCTAAAAAAGGCTGATAAAATAAATGAGACCTATGAGGATATGAAAAGGGATCAACTGGAAATAAAGAAAACATTGTCTGAAATAAAAAAAATTATATAGAGTCCTAAAAACAGACTGGAAGGTCGCAAGAATCAAGACAAAGATTTAGAGCACAAAGAGCCCGAGGATACTCCTCTGCAGAAGCGAGAAGATAAGAGAATCCAGAAAGTTGAAGATAATGTAAGAAACCTCTGGTACAATTTCAAGCAAACCAACATCAGAATTATGGGTATTCCAGAAGAAGAGAGAGAGCAAGATACTGAAAGAATACTGGAAGAAATAGTGACAGAAAACTTCCCCCACCTGGGGAAAGAAATAGACTTACAAGTCCAGGAAGCCTGCAGAACCCCAAACAAAAGGAATCCAAAGAGGACCACACCAAGACACATCATAATTAAAATTCCAAGAGCAAAAGACAAAGAGAGAATATTAAAAGTAACAAGAGAAAAGCAGGTAGTTACCTATAAAGGAGTACCCATACAATTGTCAGCTGATTTCTCAACAGAAACCATGCAGGCCAGATGGGAATGGCAAGAAATATTCAAGGTGATGAATAGCAAGAACCTACAGTCAAAAATACTCTACCCAGCAAAGCTAACACTCAGAATTGAAGGCCAGATAAAGAGCTTCACAAATAAAAAAAAGCTAAAAGAGTTCATCACCGTCAAACCAGAATTATATGAATTGCTGAAGGGGGTTCTTTCGGAAGAGAAAGTAAATAAAGATAAAAATTATGAACAACAGATACGTAACTATCAACAAGTGAATCTAAAAACCAAGGGAATTAAAAAAAATCTAATGAACAATATTAACTGTTGAATATAATAGAATCAGAGGTATGGAAGGGGAGTGGACTGACGATTTTGGGGGCAAAGGGGAGTAGGGGTGTAGGAAGAGACTGAACAAAAACTGTGCACCTATGGATGAGGACAATGGGGGATGGGGAAAGGACAGAGGGTGGGGTGGGAACCTGGTGGAGGAGAGCAATTGAGGGGGGAGAAGAGGATCACATTTGTAATAATCTGAACAATAAAGATTTATTTAAAATAAAATAAAATTTAAAATTTAAAAATAAATAAATAAAAAATAAAACTGCTCTAAAAATTAAAGTCTACTTAAGCTGAAACCGGTTTGGCTCAGTGGTAGAGCGTCGGTCTGCGGACTGAAAGGTCCCAGGTTCGATTCCGGTCAAGGGCATGTACGTTGGTTGCGGACACAACCCAGTAGGGGGTGTGCAAGAGGCAGCTGGTCGATGTTTCTCTCTCATCAACGTTTCTATCTCTCTATCTCTCTTCCTTTCTCTCTGTAAAAAATCAATAAAATATATTTTTAAAAATTAAAAAATAAATAAATAAAAATTAAAGTCTACTTAAAAATAACAACAACATACCCAGTTAGCATGGCTCAGTGATTGAACGTGGACCTAGGAACTGGGAGGTCACAGTTCAATTCCTGGTCAGGGCACATGCCTGGGTTGCAGGCTCGAGCCCTAGTGTGGACGTGTAGGAAGCAGCTGATTCATGATCCCCTGTCATCATGGATGTTTCCATCTCTCTCTCCCTCTTCCTTCCTCTCTGAAATCAATTAAAAAATAAAAAATAAAACAATAAAAATAACAATAGAGAAATGAGCAAAACTGTGTCCATCAATGCCTCAGTACATGGATGCTGAATGAAAAGTATACAGTCAAGTCACAATGGCAACATTCCTCAAAGGGCTGGCCATCCCATTCCACAGGGCCACGTGCACAAGTCCTGTGCCACACTCTGAACGTCTCACACCGGCATTACATCACC